TCAACGTCAATCATTTTTTGGAGATAACAAAATATATGTTTCATTTAACTTAAGGTCAGGCTTGAGAAGTGATATTCTTGTTTATGAAAAATGCTATATCAAGCCATGTAATATTAGTAAGATACAGTGTAATATGATCAAAAAAATTTGTCATATACTTTCAAGGTAAAAAGATGTGCATTTTTTATTTAGAATTGTTTTAGGATTTTTTTTTGTTTTTTTTTTTGGTATAAATTGACTAATGAACAAGATTTTTATTGGCCTTGCTCGAGGGGTCTCAATTTGACTCGTTGGCTCGGGGGGCCAATGGCTTGGCGCAGGAAAAGCTCCCGTCAACCCTACTCGTAGTTCAATAGACTCGAACTAAGGCTCGAGCCAAGCACCATTTTGGGACGTCGACTCGAGCTTGAGCCAACCCGTGTGGCTCGACAAGTCACACAAGCCAAACCTAAAAAATAAATAAGAAAAATCTCTAAAACTTAAAAAAAGAAAAAACCAGTGTGTGCTACCTTAACAAGGATATGAAAAAAAGAGTGGAGTGAGCCGGCTTGGCTCGCTAAGAGTCGAGGCTAGATTTTTTTGCTGAACAAAAGCTCGGATCGACTTGGGCCAAAAAATGCTCGTACCATTTTTACTTCGATTTGATTCATTGACATCCCTACCGATGCTTGATGTGCAAAGTGAAGCAAAACTTTAACATTTTTAAAATCTTTCTACTCATACAAATCCGTTTAAAATTGTTTTAGGACTTCGAGTATTCTACTACCTTTGAAAACTCACCAAGAGTTGCAATAATTTTGAATTTAATGAATACTCTTATCCATGTTTCTTTATAAAGACGTGTAAATGTGATCATTTTTGCCGTTATTTGGACGAATATATGTTGATTTGATCTTATTATTGTTGGAATATTTTTCAACATATATTATGAGTGATTTGAAAATGATGAAAGTGGATCAACCATGAGAAAACCATTTGGAGCCAAAAGAGGAAGGGGGATCCACAAATCATGTTTTAACTATGCACAATTCAAAAATCATGTTTTAAGTTTAACTAATGCAAAATTCAAGTTTTAGCTAATTAATTAAAAATATTTATTAATTAAATATAATGAGATCACATTTATACAATTAATGGTCACATGAATATAATTATAGGTTACAATTTATTTATTGGTCACATATTATTAAATTAATTGATGACATAAATTGTGACCTATAAAATTTTTAATTTGTGACCATAACATAATTTGTGACAAATTATAGGTCAAAGGTCACATATTTTCAAATTTTATAGTCACATATTACTTTTTTCAAAGCCACAAATGATCTAATTTTAAGGTCACAATTTACAAATTCAAAAAATTATGGGTCACATATTTTCAAATTTGATGGTCACGAATTACCTTTTTTAAGTTACAAATGATCGAATTTTAAGGCACAATTTAATAGTTAGTCATAGGGAGACCAAATAGCTGGTCACGGACACCAAACGCCCCGATCCTAATCCACCACAATACTTGGTCACAAACACTATCTCACCCTGCCACATCACCATCACCACTACTCCAAAAAACGACAACCCTAACTAAAATACCTCAACAACAGCCATTGCAGTAAGCCAAGCAGGCCACCCAACTGCCACCACTACCATCCGGCACCGCCATCGCATCCACCACCACTCCAAAAGCCAACAAATATCTAAACACCACACCAATACACTTCCACATAAAACAGGTGGCGATCACACTACCAACACCTACAACTGCAACCACCGCCACTTTCACCTTGTCACCGTCGCCACCAACATCACAACATCACCACCAATAACAATCACCACCACCAGATCCAATCAGCTGCCAACAAAAACCATGACAATCGACTCCATCAACTCTCCAACCACTAATAACCATCTCCACCGCTGCCAAAAACCACCATGACCGCCACCACCAAACACACCAACAATATCTAACCCATAACGTCTCCACTGTCAGGAACAACCACAGCCACAACCAGAACAACCACCAAACACACCCAACAACACACCATCTCCCAACGCCACCTAAATCATCACTGCCAAGTGCCAACACAAGCACCATCGTTACATCACCACCAACGTAGTCCTACCTAGATCCACCACATCACCATCACCACACTGTCACCGCAAAGTCATCGCATACACCACACATAAAATCGCAACATATCGTACAAAGCCGCGCATTCCTTACTTTATTTTGCTATTATCAGAGCCGGTAGTGGTGGTTTGGACATTGTAGGAAGTATGTGAGTAAAGAGAGAAAATGTGTGAATAGAGAGGGGTGTGTTGTTTTCATACACCTGAAATTGCCGACCTAAATGTGAGAATCGCCAGTGATCTCCCACGGTGATATACCACTGTGAAATTGTCCACGTAAATGGTGGTGACTTGACGGCTAGAGAGCGAAGAGAGAAGGCTTAGTGTCGGAGATAGCGTTGATCAGTGAAAAAGAAGTGAAAAGGGAGAGAGATATAGAGAGAGAGGGAAGGAAGCTGTGATTCAATACCAAGGGTTTGGGCAGTGGGGGTAGGTGGATATATTTAATATTTAATTATTATATTGATACCTTATTTATGCATAATGAAACTCCAACCTTGATTTTAGAATTGTGATGTTTAAACACTTGGTATTATGTAATTTACCAAAAAAAAAAGGATAAATACACCTTGATCACCCGGCTTGTGTAAAACAAAATAGTGGCTTAACTGATAAATTGGGTGATTCCCCTGTTTGTATAAAATCGCCCGGTACAAAATTCTGGCCGTCAAGTTTTGAATTTTTGGTGTCGTTTTGAAGCATTTCACGCCTTTTGACTTGATTGTTGCACCTTTGAAATTGTAGTGTTTTATCTATAGATGGTTTTCATATTGAAAAACATATTAAAAAATCAAATTAATTCTATTATATCCAAAATCAAAGATTAAACCAAGTTTTATATATTGTTCTTCAAAGTTCATTTTTTCAAGTTTTATTTGCTTGATTCAAATTTGGATTAAAGCTTGCTTACTCCTGCAAACTGTTTGCCATTGAAACTTCTATTTTGACAAAAATCTTGTTGCTGGATTTTTCTTGTTCTTCATCAAATTTTATCAACAATCACATGCTTCTTGATTGCAATCTATGCAAGGATCTGTATAAGTTGATCGAGCATTTCAAATCATTCAGAGTTTTATATAAATATTGTTCTCAAGTATACATTAGTTGGTTACAGCCACATTGGTTAGACGCTTAACGTATATTTAATTTATTGTAAAGCTAACAAGATGTCAAACAAAATGCGTCTACCACAAAAGAATGTCTCTTCATAGTCAATATCGGTTCTTTGGAAAAATTATTGTCAGTACAAGTCATGCTTTGATCTTACGACTTGATTATACTCGGTTACTTTTTGCACAATCTTCCATTTTATAATCTGACTTTACATCTCTAGATATTTGGATTGCATGTCCAAAATTTTCAAGCATAAGAGTTCACTGCTAGGAATAGAGCATCGATATAACACCAAAGTTACTCATCTCATTCACGTCCATGGACTTTTTTAATTCACGTTCAATTGGAGACCATGACCCCATAATAAATAACTGCAATTTGGAAGTTACTAATTTTGTATTATTTCAAATTGGCCCCTCATCAGTTCAAAATAACATTTTTCGATCTCTACACTATATTCCCATAACATTTAATAATCATTAGTCCAAAATTAAACTTAATGGATCACTTTACGGACTAATCCTTAAAATTAGCACCACACTATATATACATGTGTGACCCCATACGATGGAATCTTTTTTCCAACAGAGTACACGTCTTCTCAATTTGACCATCTTTCCTTTTTGTTTCCCTTATCATTTGGGAATTTCTATCTTTAGAAACGAATGTCACCAAGCTTTAAGTGTGTCATAATGCTAACAAAATGTTCTTTTGGGACATCAATTGGAGATTAAGCATTTAAAGCTAGAGCATGAGAATTTATTAATCTCTATAGTCAATAATTTTATATTTAACATAAGCAAAACTGGTAAAATGGGAACTTTCTGCTGATAGGGAAAGTTACTAAAATTTGGGAAAACATAGGGGCGTCCTGAAATTTTCATAAACTTTTCTAAATTTTACTCAAACTTGATAAACTATCAAGAAAATATCAATATATAACGCATTGTAGCGCGTAAGCATAGAAGTAACGTCTTTTGCAATGTGAGGATTCGATTTCTAAGACATGAAATTTGACTCCTTGTAGACGCAATGTACACGCAGCTCTTGTTCCCTGACCTGTTGGGGCACATCCCAAAATTTACTACTCACAAAACTCTAGAGACGGAACGATAAGAACCCTCAAAATTAGGGTTCAACCTTCATAGAAGTAACGTCTTTTATGTAACTACCAAGAGTTTGAATCAACATTTTGGAATTACAGATAATGGGATGTTTATCTAGGTGTCATAGTTTGCCTAATCATTCCAGAGATCATTTCTATGGCATAGCAAAACGTTTAGCTACTTGTATAAACATACTTATAAATCCCTATATAATTAATCAATACAATTTTTCCTCCTCGCTTCTTTGATTTATCGATAACAGAAAATCGAGGAAGAATCGATAAATCTCCTTCGAATCTATTGCTGATTTAATGCTAAAAAATTATCCTCTAAAATAGGAGTTTTTCAATGAATTGTGATGTAAATTATGATATTTTATATTGTTGGACTTGGATGGACTCAAAAATAATGAAACAAATAGAAATGGAGATGCATTAGGGCTTCAAGTGGCCACTTTTTTCAGTCACAGAAGAAAAGGAAAAAAAAAATGGCACAGATATGTCCAAGAGAAAAATGAATATTTATTTTTTTTTTTTAATGAAAAAAGGTATGTAGTTAAAAAGTGAAAAAGGTTGCAAGTCAAATGTGCGTCCAAGGAAAAATGTTTTTCAAAGAACCTCTTGCCAAACAAGCATCAAATCAACAATATAAAGTAGAAAAGGAATAGATTTATTTACCACAAATGACTTGATAGATAATTATATAAAACTATCCATACTTGATATTTAGTACTGAATTAGAGACAATACGAAATTTTTAATTTTTCAATATTGCCCAATATTATAAGATCGAACCAAACACGCCCATTTGTTCTAACATAGATAAAGACAAACACACCCAAAAGAGTTTCAATCTAAATACTTGGCCTAAGGACACTTGGTCTTGTTGCGATGGGTGGTCATATCAGTATAACATTTTCCACACATCTCTCTATTGCCGGAGGTTCCTGGTGGCACACACTTGCACCTCACACAACAAGTCCCACATGCCCTTATACACAAATTTTGCCTGGAGTGCTGGCTGCACCTGTACTTGCACAGCCCACCACAGTCGATGCCGTGAGCTGGGGTCGGAGCTGGAGGCGGAACCGGAGCCAGAGCCGGAGCAGGAGCACCAGTGTCCAAGTATTTCGTGATCATTTTTGGCGCTTGTTTGGGAGGGTCATAAATTGTTAGTCCCACATCATCATGTGTATATAATAAGTTGATAATATAGTTATGCGTCCTCTAAGCTTTGCCAAACATGCACTTACTACATTATGGGCAGCGCCAATGTGTTATAAATAAAACGCTACAACGATACACTAAGCCCTTGTTCGATGGCCATTATTTTGAGAAAAAAAAATGATGTGTTGAATATCGATTTTTTTGAAGAATATGCTGTGAAAAGTAGGAAATTTTTTTGAGTTCATGTGTAAAATATTTTATCAAGTGAACATACAGTCGAAAATGAAAATGAAAATTTAAGAGGCTGTTTGGGAGTGTTTTTTTACCCCCAAAAAATTGATTTTTTTTTTTTTTTTACTGTTATTTCATTATTTCAACCGTCATATTTGACTTCTTCAATCAACCTCATTTTATCAAAAAATCAATTCCCAGAATCATTCCTAAACATGCTCTAAAACAGGCTCTAAAGAGTTTTATTTTAAACGTAGACAAGCAGGCGCTAAGTCTTATCATTATTAAAAAACGGATCAAGATAAAAGCCCCAAATTTACACAACTAGGTTAAAAAATCTAAATGATCACTCACCCGTATCCTGCATGAGATTTCTGTCTGTGCCTCTGGAAAACACCTGAAAAACACAGACACACAAAAAGAAAAGATTGAGGAACAAAACCCACAATGGCATTTCATCAAACACTTAAGAGGAAACAAAAAACTAAAAGAAAAGAGATAAATTACACGAAATGCCTCGCTGTGATGTTTTTTTCCTTCATCAATCTTTAAATCGGACGAAGCCTGCAAGTTACACCGTTAAATCATAATAAATTTACATTTGTGGTGATTAAAAGAGAGTCCTTATGAGATTTATACCAGGGAAACACAGAAGAGAGAAAGAAGCAGTGTAAGAATCACTCGTGTAGCAGCCATGATTGTAGTGCAGTTGTATTGTGCTGAGGAAAGTCCAGCTCTTTAATAGAGGAAATTTTATTTCGTTGTTTCCAAAATTGCCCTTGAATAGTAGCCAAGAGCTGTTTGGGAGAGATTTTGAGAGTTGATTTTTTGACCATTAGTAAAAAAATGGGGGTCCATCTGTGAGAGAAGAAGTCAAACATGACGATTAAAATAGTGAAATAACGGTTAAAAAATCAATTTTTTTGAGAAAAAATCACTCCCAGACAAACTGTAAATGTGTACTGAGTTGGACATATCAACAAATTTTAGCTCATGTTCGGTGGAGATTAAAATCAAATTTTTAATAAATTTTGATAAAAATTGATAAAATATGTAGTTAAAAGTTTTGGGCCCTATGAAATTAATTGATGACTTTAATTCATATTTCAATCAAATTTTTTAGAGGTTTCAAACAAGGACTTGGTATCAAAGAAAGAGTGAAAAGGCAAGCGTTGTAAATTAGATGCTACTACCTAACTACCCTTCAGACGACTCGACGACATAAAGGCCAACCCTCCATAAGGGTTAAGTCAATGGACAATGGTACTGACTGAGCTGTCCAACTCATTTAAACCATTTTTATGATGTGACAGTATGGTAATATTAAATATAGATTCAATTATATATATGACCTAGTTAATAGAATCAATAATATAATCTCTTTGGGGTTCATTTTATTAAAAATGAATTTTTTTTCTCTTTTCTTTTTAAATACATATTTTTTAATAAAATAATATTATACATAAATTTTAAAAAAAAAATTCTTAATCACACATTTTTCAAAAAATCACTATCTCAATCACATTTTGTTCAAAAAGTTAATTTTAATAAAATCCAAACAAAAGCATACTAACATTAGATTAATGTGTCAATGTTAGTAGTTTTAAATAACATTATTCATTTTTATAAACAAACAGGCAAAATATCTTGTGAAAAACTCCAATTGTTGCCCTCCGGGTATAGCCAAATGGTGCAAAAGACAAAAGTGAGATTATCTACCGCAGTTTGGGGGTTCGATTCATAAGCCATGGAATTGGACTCCTTGTAAGCGCAGTGTACAGAGAGCTCTTGTTCCCTATCCTGTTGGGGCATATCCCACAATTTACCTCATTCACAAAGTTTTAGGAACGAGGCGGTAGAAGTCCTCAAGGTTGGGATTCAACTTAAAAAAAAAACAAAAAAACTCCGGTTGTTTTCTGTACCAGCCCATTTACTCAACATGACCTTTATTATGCACCAACAGATGTTGCACCTACCAGTTTGTACTACGAAACTGTGACAAAAATATGGACCAGTCTGCGACGTTTAATTATAGCCAGCTGGATAATTGTCAATAAATAAATTGTACACTTTGCACTATTGATGATTAATTATAAGAAAAATTATCCAATATTGTAAATCTAGTATTTGTAAATGATAATTATATCCATATAACCCTAGATTTTATTATCATTGTATCCTTATTTCTTTCTTACATGTACGAGATTTTGGTTCTTAATAAAACACATAAATCTATTGACTCATTCTCTTCTCTTTTTATCTCTTTTCATAACACGTTATCAACATAATAATAACAAATTAATTTGAAGGATAGGTGGAACTAAAGCTTGTTTATGCCTTGCCCTGTGCTAGGCAAGTATTTTAAAAGACAATCATGCTATATTAACATTTTGGATGACAGAATGTCCATGTGGCAGACATTTATCGAACCGTTTAAAAAAGTCGACAATGCTATCAAATTATTTTTTTACAAATTTTTTCCAACCAACAAATATGTTAAAAATATCGACAATAAAGTTTGATTCTTTGGTACAATTATTGTCAGGAAAACACTATGACCTAAGGTAATGTTCTTTTAGTTTCACGATCTCCAAGATAATTGTGGTACTCCAAAATTGGTCTGCAATTGTAATTGGAGCACTATAAATACCTTTTCAGAAATTATCACACCTTTTTTAGTTTTGTGTGCATTATAAAATTAATCATGATTTAGAGTCACGTGTCTTAATAAAAATAAACTTTGGATTAAAATATTGTTTGCATTAATCATGATTTATAAAATATTTTTTATATAGGTAAATACTTTGGATTTGAACATCATGATTTTTCCACTAATCAATGATCAAATGAAATTATATTATACGTTTATAATGATTATTAAATAATTTTTATGTCTTTAACTTGATTAAATATTTGTAGATTTTTTTTATAAATTTTAAATTAATAATATATCGTGTTGTTGCTCCTAAAGAAGCACAACTCTTTGAATATAATATTCTGTTATAAAACATACTCCTAAAAAGTTAGTATTGTAAAATAATAATTTGCAGGTATTCTTGAGTAACAAAATATTATCAATATTCTAAAAGAATATCAATTGCTCGTGAAGAGGATAATAATATTGATGTAGCATAAATTATTATTATAGCTCGTGAAGAATAAATCTTTACTTAATTTATAATTTAAATAATAATGTGTTATAAGAATTTGACATTAAAATTTCAATATTCAAGAAGAATAGTAACTTATTGCTTTTCATAAAGCAATAATAAAATATAACTTGCTCTTAAATTATCACACTTTTGTACGAATATCTTCTTGTATTCATAAAGAAACATAAATTAAATTACTCAATATTAGATTGTAATTTTCAAAGGAAAATAATATTCTATTTAATTAATATTGAAAAAGAATATTAAATTATCGTTCTTAAAGAGTATAACATTCAGTGTTTCAATAGTCTCAAAGAATACCATATGCTCCAAAAGAACTTGACATTACAGTTTAAATATTTTAAAAGAATATTAACATATTACTCTAGAAGAATCATACTTTTATATTAAATTAATATACTAGAAGAATAATCAATATTCTAAGATTTAAATATTCTAGAAGAATATTACTGAACTGTTTGAATCAATTAAACAAATCAATGCTAAAAAAGAATTTTATTTTTATTGTTTTTTAAGAAGACTATAACGCTAATCAATTATGATCATTTTAGAAGAATATCAAACAAATATTTGATTTGATATTTTTATGAGAATTTTTTGAAATCTCCGAATAGTCAATTTTAAGTAATAAAGTGGAGAAAAATTTTATATTAGTATTTTACTATTTTATTCTTCACTAAATATAAAAGAAACTAAAGTCTGTATTTTAATTAGTATAATTGAATTGTATCTAATATTGAACCATAAGTTCAATTTGATTTTATTATTTGACACGATCGATTAAAACATCTAGATCAATAATAATGTGAAAATTGAGAATTCAAATAATCAATGAAGAACTAGAAAAAATTTCAATTTGATGAAATTATATATGACGTTTGTTCTTTTTCATAAAATTTTCGTAAAAATTGATCATTAACTATCACTAACTAAAATAGGGACTGAATACTTTATATTTCTGAAATTTAATTAGGGTGATAATGGAGCCCGCCATCCACATTGACCATCTAAATATTATTTTTATTTAATAGATTTGATACATATATTAAATGATTGCATGATATTTGAAACTTGAAGTGTACAGAGTACTGTTCAAGATTTAAATTGTAAGTATAATTTTGAAATTATACAATCAAAATAGTTTATATTATTAATGCTTGTGATCCTAAATCTCAAGTTTTCAATAAGTGTGAGTTGAAATGTCAATAAATGGTTTAACACTCTTTCTTGTTAAATGTCTCCAATTGATTTAATTGAAAATAAAGTACTTCCCATTTTTTTTGTGTTGGAAATGCTATTATGCATCATGTCAATATCATAATTCTTCCTATTGTAATTGGCTTATGATTAGAGTCTAATTTTCATCAAATTATTTAATCGTACAGTATATGCAAAATTGATCCACCAAAATGCACTGAGATGAAAAGTAGAGAATATCGAAAATAATTGAATAGTTTGAAACCTAAAACAATATATCAAATTCTAATGAGTGATATTTTATAAAACGATTTGCTAATTGTTAATTTGATTGGATAATTCTCTCAATATTAGATAAATGAATTAAGAAGTTGAAAATAATGTACAAATGTATCATTATCTAAATTCTCGTAAAAGATAATTTGAACCAGAAGTTCGAATGATGATTTATTTAGATGCATTTATTGACCAAAAACATCAACAATATCTTACACACCAGTTTTAAGAGCTGCAATTGGAATTAACGTTCTGAAGGACAATTAGCTAATATTATATTTAATAAATTTATGACACGTTTGAAGTATGAGGACATTCGATTCTAAAACAAAGATCTTAAAACAAGAAATGGGACATAAAACAAAATGCGTATACTTTTGGAAAGTATATAGACATAACAAAATGTAAATCCTAGAAGTGATTTGGGTATATGATACATTGAAAATTAAGATATCTCAAAAAGTTATGTCATTATAAAAAAAATAGAATTGAAAATGAAAAATTTGTTGACAATAATTTTGCACATAATGTACTGCATCATACGGCAAGGAATCAAAATAAATGTGCCGAAATATATCGATTAAAATAATGATTGGCAAAATAAAAGGAATAGAATCATAAATTGAATTTACTAGAAAAACCTGAAATTTCTGGACATGCAGTCCAAAAATCTAAAGTTACACGAAAAGCACATAAGAAAAATGAGGTCATAATATGTAATGCACGTCTCTCAACATAGCGTGTGTCTGGGAACAATTTTTATGGAAAATTTGACCGTTACTCAAGGTTAATGGGCCCCACATCTGCAAGAATTCTGGCAAAAAAAGGGACAAAAGCTACACCCGTCATTCACCTCTTCTTTGAAATGTCAAAATTATCCTTGTGATTGTATTGAATTTAAAAAGTGTAGGGACACCATGATTTTTTCAATATAATTTATAATTGACCGATTGGTGTAGTCAACAATTGCTGCAACCATGTGGGCCTCCTTTCCTGTAGATAACGGATGAAATTCTGATTATAATTTGAAAATAAGTGCTTCCAGACACCCCCATAATGAATTCGCCAAAGATCATGATGGATGGAATCAAGAATCCATAC